GTCTGTCACCCGAAGTTTTCATTACGATTATCAAGAACGTACACGATCTAGGCCCTGGGCTAGGCTTAGCTTGATGTCGTCACTCTGCTACGTATACTACTACCGCATAACAAAGAAAGCGACCAACGCAGGGGCGGATCCAGAAATGTCCAAAAGGGGGGGCCGAAAGGGGGGCCGAAAGTTGGGCTGATTGAGACAACACTGTCGTAGGGGGTCCGGGGCATGGTGAAAAATGGAGATCTAAATGAAAAAACGATGTATTTCAGCAAGTATTAAAACATTTTAGTTTTATTTTAGGCCTTCCTCAAAATACCTATGCCTACAGCAGTTGAATTTTTTTGCCGTAAAACCAAAATAGTTTCATCCATGCCGACTTTCCGGTCGGTTAGCGTGAGTCCTGACTGAACTCTGCAGAAACTTCACATCGATCTTCCCATCGCGATGTAAAACAAAATGTCGGAAAACTTTTCTTTGACGCATGCGCATTTGCATAAATGTCTACACACACACTACACACAATACAACAAAAGAAATGTGACTAAGAGTGATTACAATAGTTCCTATTGCATTACATGCATAGGAACTAAAAATGCAAAAACAAGAATTACAATTTAAATCCACAAAACAAAGACATTAATCATTGGCAGCCTGAATAGCGCGCCAGTGTAAGAACGAAGATCTTGCATGTGCCAGGGTGGCATCAGAATCATGCCAATTATTACCATTAATTTCTTGTACAATCTTTTTCTGTATTTCTATTTGAGCTGTATCCCAGGTTTTTTTTTTTTTTAATATTCTAAATATATTAGAATTGTTTTTATTAAAATTTTATTCAATTTGTGAATTAAATTTTTTAGCCTTGGAATTTTGTATGTCTCACTGAATGCTACTTTGAAGCTTCTTATAATCTTCGTAGCAATTAGTTGTCTATTACTATTTTTAATTTTATGCTTATTATTATTATAATTAGTATTATTATTATAGTTTGTCTATGACTATTGAGAACTGGCGACCAATCAACATCAGATAATATCAACAAACGCATCTTTACTGTAAGTTTTAAATGACCTTAGATTCACTGTATTATGACTATTATATACGTCTCTTAGTCTTGCTCGTTTTCTGATGCAGAATGTTAAGAAATAGTCACTGAGACCTATTAGGAGTTATCAATGTTCAAAGCTGTGCAAATCAAGAAATTCACAATATTTTTTAAAAGCAGATGTTGATTTGATGTTAAAGTCGTTAAGTATTGTGTCCTCCTTACCATGGTCTATCGAACTATAGTATCAAAGTGTTGTATAAAACCCATAATATTGTCATTTGGTGAGTAATAAACACAACCAAAAACAATTGGTTTTGATTTAAACTGAATAATTTCTATCCATGCTGCTTCCAGTTCATCAGATTAGCAAAACCATTTTTATATATATACAGATGCCACCATAGGTTTTTAATCTTCAGTCTGCATATAATTCAGTACTTGATGGCAACTTCTGTCTCAGTAACGGAATCGTTAAGCATGATTCCGTAATACATAACAAAGGTTTTAAGAAATAATGAAGCCAAAATAAGTATAAGTATTATCTGTATCTGGTGACTGTTTGATGCTAAAAAATTTTCTTAATCAACTGTTTAATTACTGTGGGTATTAATGTGCACTGCTTTGCATTTATCAACATTCCATATCTTATGATAGTAAATTGATACTCTCAGATTAAAGAGAAATAATATTATGTGATACTGTTATCCATACATTGGGCAAGTATGCAAAAAAAATGCAGTTTGGCAAGTTGCTAACAAAAATATTAAATAAAAATGATCTTTAAAATGGAGCCATAAATTACCTTTTTGTTAAATGGATCTGTGGGAAACCTGCGGATACATCACTCGAATCAGAAGAATTCTCATTCATTCATGTATTTATCTGGGCTTATTAATATGTTTATGTTTAACAAACAATTTTGAAACAGAATAATGATTATAAAAAAACACAGAATAACACAATGCTGCCATTTACAATGTAGTGAAACCCAATAAAATGCTTGCTAACCTTTGAATGTTTGATGATGTTGTATTACATGAATAAATGTTTTGTTTTCATAAAAACACAAGAAAGAAGTACACATTAACAGTAACAATTGTGACTAAAAAAATAACTTAAATGTATTTTTTGAAAAAAACTAAACAATGGAAGAAATATGAAAATGATAAAAAAGACATTATTAGTCAATAATAAACAAATATTAATTACGTACCTTTGTGCCTTTGATGATTCAATTTGATATTGGTACCTTATAAATATTTGGGTATGATCATTATTATAATTACCTGGCCAGAAATTTTTTCTTCAATTTAATTTTCAATTAAAAGCTAATACATTAAGCCATTAAAATGGTTGTTTTTTTTTTTTTTTTTCCACACTCTGATCTGATTTAACAATAAGAATTTTTGTGTGACTGACCAAACTACACAACAAAGAATAATATAAAAATAATGTATTTTAGATAATATTAATTAAATGAATATTTTATCATGAATAATGCATTACTAACCATTGTATTCTCTCGTATCTTCACCTGCATTTGCATTGGCTTCTTTAACCTCTGACATTTGAGAGCCAAAGATTTTGTTAGCAAGCTCTGTGAGTCCTTGTTCTTTCAAAGCTCTGCACATTATCTGAACTTGATTTTTCTCATAGTTCTGTTGTTTCCTCCATTCTGTAAGCATATCCATAATGGAGTCAAACAATCGTCTGTTATCACTCCATATTTGTTGGATCATCTTCCAACTAAGACCCAATCTGACGCCCAGTTGTTTCCACTCCATTCCCATGCCCTTGGCGATACGAAGCAGGTGCCTGTCTTCAAGATAACCAAGACGTTCATCTGAAGTAAAAATAAAAGTAAGTCTAGCACAATAAAATAATTGGAATAATAACATTACTGTAACAAAAATAAAATAATATATTAAATAAATAATTATAATAATACCTAATAGTCATATAGCTGTCTTTAAAAAAATAATTTATGAGACACAAAATAGTAATAACCTCTGAAACACTAACCTGGTGGCGCTGTTTCAGCATCGCTGGAACCTGCTGCTGGCATTGAAGAATCTACAAATGAATTAAAAACAATTTAATACAGAATCAAATGACTAAAATTGACTGCTGTCTATCACATTACATTGACCAGGACAAAATCAGCTCACATAAAGTTTTAATGGTGGATTTATACTAAATCAGAAGTGGGCATAGGCCATCTGCAGCCCAACAACAGTTTTAATGCCACCTCGAAAAAAAAAAAAAAATTTGAAAAAGCAGTATGCAGCAAACCATCTTCAGTTGGAAAAATTTTGTTAGTATCAAGCTGGTTGTCTGTAATATTAATAATAAAATGGGATGATTCTGGAAATAAATCATGTTATAATTTCTGGGACAACTTTTGAATTTTGCCTCTCTGTTTGATTTACAATAGCTTTTGATATGAAATAAATCAAATAAAATCAAAACTAAGCATAAAGGGTTGTAAAAGCAGTGCATGAATGTTGTCAATCAAAAATTTAGTGTTGCTCTCTGACCACTTTTATCCCTTTATTACTGGATAAAGCTTTCAATATTAGACATTGATTTCCAAGGAGCAATTTGAAAATTTAAAAAAAAATCTATTGTATAATAAAAAAAAAAAACATAATACTAGTATAGCAGTCAAGGAAATCAAACAAAATAGACAAGTTAAAATTGAATAACATATATATATACAGATTTGATATAGAGTAATTAAATGCTGAGATTAATACCAAGTGGAATTGGCCAATGAAATGTTATTTGTATTTATACCTAATTAACATTTTCATGAGGTACAGTAAACTGCTATCTGGTATTGCTAGTTTTCCTTTAGTTTATGTTATTTACCTGTCACTAGTTGCTTATTCTTGAACATCCTCTGTAGTTTGGCAGTGGTTGCTAATTTCTTAGAGCATCGGATATAGGCATTTTCAAGGCACTCTTCCAAATCGTGGAAGTGCATTTCTCGCAAACCTGTCCAGCACAGCACACGGAACTTATAACGTGTGTGCTTCATTCCAGATGTCAGCACTTCCATCTCTTTCTTCAGAAACTCTAACACCTTGAATGAGGATTTTTTTAAATAATTTGAAAATTACATTGAAAATATTTCAAAATATATTAAGAAAAAATATATGTATTGAAAGGAAAGAATCATAAAAAACACTGGTTTCACAATTTGTTTTGTTAGATTTTATGATTTAATTGACTTGATATGCTCAATGATAAAATACAACAATTTAACAGGCAATAAAAAGGAGTAGATCCAAAATTTTTTGAACAGGGGAAAGGGGGAGTGGAAAGATTTTGTTTTCTAGTGTGTCTTATTTCAATACTTAACATTGTATGTACTAACATTTTAAAATCTAGAGGCAAAATTGGGGAGGGGGAACACTTCTCTAACTGTATCAAATATGCACTATATAAATACACATCTATTACCATTGCCTGGAAAACTCTACTAATGCCTACGATTCTCCAAGTAATATCACTAATAAAGAACATCACCACTGATTTGTGTAATTTTTCAGTTGTTATTTCAATTGCAAGATTTCATTTATCAAACTAGATTACCTGCATACAGATTCTAGGACTGGGTTCACCTGTTGATGTCTTGGTATTGTCCTCGTGAATGATAGGCATTCGTGATATTTCCAGCTGAAATACAAACATTAAAATCAACCAACAATTCAATAGTGCATGCCCCGAATCTAGGTAGGCGTAATGCGAAATGCAAAGTAACAAGCAGTGAAGGGGGTTTGAGATTTTTGTCTAGAAACTTTTATAAAATTGCTATTTTAGAATACCATGCTCCACCTTTTTCTCTTTTTCTTGTTACAATTGTATTCAATATTTTCTTTTTGTGGGGGGGGGGGGTTGTTGTGAGTGCCTTAGTGACGGCCACCAGGATCTGCTGCTGTAAACTACCCTCCTTAACACTGTAACAAACAAAAAATTTGCAACATCACATCAAAATAACTCATAGAAAAACACCACTTAATTTCATTACCAATCACTCAAATAATTAGTAACTAAATGACTGAACGTCTTACCTTCAATGAGGGCTTGTTATTAATGACTACTGGTCCTAAGCTGAGAGTGTGTTCCAGTCCTAGGCTGATGTCTGCATACTTGCTAAATAATTCCAGCATGGCTGGGTAGCCCATGTCTTGTACCATTCCAATCAAGCTCACAACTAGAGGATGGAAGACACTATCAGGGATGAAATCCTTGGAGGCCATGTAGATAGATACCATCTGAGCTGTGTCCGGTTCAATAGACACATTGTCCTTGCTACGTTTCAATCGACATGGTACGAAAAACGAGCGATATTTGCTTGCCTGATGCTTGAGGAAACAAAGAAATGAATTCCATTTAAAGGTAGAAAAATAAGTATGAAGATATTTTACCAGCTTTTTAGATCAAATGTGAGGTCTCACTACAAAATGAATATCATTGTTAGAAAATAAAAAAATGAGTTTATATTATATTTTGTTAGATCACATTATAAGCTTTAATTTGGTCTTTGAATGGCTTCCCTAGGATAAATAGATAGATCCGGAGATAACAAATAAAATATAAATATAAAATAATTTAAAATGGTCTTTTTAAAAAAAAATTATTTCCTGCATTTCTTTTTACAATTAAAAGTTGAAATCTAGTCATCACTATGCACTTACACTAATATTTATTTTTTTGAAAATAAAGTCTTATTAGGATTAATTGCTCTGTGCAGGTCAATTGAATATTAACTACCTGGATGGCCAGTAATTCTGTAAACTCTCAAAGTATTTGCAAAAAAATGGGTAAAAAAAGCAATACCTTGATCTGCTCGCAGAGCAGTCCAAACTGCTTCATTAACTCCAAGAAGACCTCAAAGCTAGATTCATCTTTGCTAATCTCATCTCTCCAAAGATGTCTGACTAACTCTTCCTCCAGTATACCTTCATTATCAAGTTTCTCCCACAGCTTGATCATTGAAGCCCACTGAAAATAATGATAATTTTAATCATGTTAATCAATCTGCGATGTCTGGCAGGGAATGACATCTGGCAGGATATTTCTACTTAACTCACCTTATCACTGTCATCAGGTTCCACCACTGTGATAATTTTCTTTAAGATGTCAATCAGCTTCCGTGGGTTTGTTATCACTG